ATAATTCGACGTTTCGAGCCAAGGCCCTTTGTCTAGACGTAAGCCGGTTGCAGACGAGCAGGTTTTCTACACGTTTTCATATTATATGGCAAGTTTTATTTGCTCGTCTGTATTGGAAACTTTGCCAAGTATTTCTATGACAAGTACCCTACGTATGAGGCGTAATATATAGATATACTCACCACAAATTCTCCAGACTATAAACGTTTCCGTTTTCGTTTAGTTTTCCTTCTCAAAACCGAATGTCCTGGTCTGCAAATACAGTACAGGGTGTATAAAAAAAAAACGCAACCTCGGAACCTTTTGTTTTAAAGACAAAAGATTATAGGTGCCTGGGAATTTAAAATAGCACAACTGTCAAAATTACTGCACACGCGAGTGCATAAAGCAAAATTTATGCATTTATTTAATGCACAACAACAGTAATATGATCGATCTACCTGTACAGTATTAGCAATTCGATTTCAATTCCCAGGGGCTTAAAATCTTTTATGCTTAAGAATTGCAAAGTGATTTCTTAGGAAATTCCGAGGTGGCGTTTTTTTTTTTAATATACACCTTGTAGACAATTATGCAAACTATGCCCATTGGCAATCCTGATCGCCTATTTAAAGTGTCCCTGTCACAAAATGAGAGTTTATATTTTCGAAATCTATGATACAAAATATACGGAAATTCGAAAACGGAATTGAAATTGCTTTTTTAGTGTAAAAGTTATTGCCGTTTAAACATTGAATTTGGCCTTGTGAAAAATCTGAAAACCGCGCAAAAGGGACTGGGACGAAACAATGCGTGTGACGTAATAGTAGGAACTTATGTAGCTCACTAATATAGAAATACTATTGCATGTACTATCATAGAGGAGGCAATAGCGCAAATAAAAGTCACGAAACTGAAAAATTGCCGAATATATATGTAGTAGGCGGTTGTTCTAATGTCACAGATACAGAGTAAGGCATTTCACTTCATTTTATACCTTTTACTGGAGGCGAGATGCACGAAGCGAAAAGGACACGGATGACTTCGTGCACCTTATTCCTTAAACCAGCAATATGAAATCCAATGTTCAGCATACTTTGCGAAGATATAGCTTGCTGGTAAAACCACGATTGGCTACCGACGAAATTGGTTTCGTTGCAATTCCAAAATATACAAATACTGTCGACGACAAACCTTTGTCTGCGAGAGCCAAGAGAATGGTATATGTATAATTTATACTCTAATTTCGTTTATCATGCACTTGAATATGGCCTAGTGCAATTTTTATTCCAAATTCGTTATTTGAATAGGTTGTATTTAGAAGCTGCTTCGATGCAGTCAACCGATATGGTCATAGTCACGAAACTGGAAAGCGCGATAAATATAAATGAGCCACAGCCAATGGATTCACCAGAAATATAACTGAAATATCGGGACAATATAGCTATGACTATGAGTGAATATGGTCAAAATATAGCTGATGAAAGCTAATTTCTTACGTCTACAAGCAATGTGCACTGTTTGTATTTTAGTTTAGACAGGGAAAGTAGAATTGTACGTATAAGTAAACTTGACGCAGTAAATTATACATATATACACTCGTTGTGTTTGCACCGCAGTGAAAACCCGTACAATATGCAGATTTTGTAACAAATTTTGGCATGAAACCAGATACACTGCGGGGGTGTATATAAAATGTATTACAAAGTATAATCCATTGAAGCAACTTAATGAAATAACGCCACATTTGCTATAGTATAAGGCAGTTGCCTGGAACGAAATACAAGTCAGAAAAATTCCTAAACGTGCTGCAACACTTTGTACAAATTAACCCGCGCACACGAAGTGCAGAAAAACATCAGATGCAAATCTTAATCTCAAATTTCAGTCTCTTTGGTTGTTTTAAAACAATATTGAAGTCATGAATATAGCAAATGTGCTGTTTCTATACGCAATACAGTATAATATTACCACGTTTATACAGTGTAATAGGTTTATTTATTGAAAAATAGTTATATAATATCAAGAGCTGTCCTCTACAAATCCTACAAAGTCTTCATCAACAGCAGGCATTATTTTCTCATATGCGCAAAGATGT